AAGTCTGTCTCTTCACATTGCATTCCCTAATACAGCGGAGGTGACTGTAGACCTTCCATTTTCAGTTGTCACCCTTACAACTTCACAATTATACTCACTAATTAGTGAGTATATTCTATATATTAGACTCTCAGTTCTGTCCTGAAAATGCTAGGTTATCCCAAGCCCTCAGCTTGTCTTACTGCCAATTATGATAGTGTAATTCTACCGCAGAACTGCCCTGGCGCTGAAATCCTCACGCTATTTCAACTATCTGAGCTGAAAGTAATACTTTGAGCCTATGAGCCAGATTGGATGTAGTCATACGCAGATAAGAGTGTTTTTCCCTTCTGTCAAACAAAAGTCCTCTGAGATTCCAGCTTTTTTATAGTCACTTTACTCCCTTGAACGAGTGATATCTTAACTACCAGTTTAAAGCATGAGTATCAAAGGAAGCCAGTGATAATACAAAGTGTCAGTGAATGAGAAATTAATCTGTGTCTACAGAGATGTACTCTGCACGCCCAAGGTATTGTGATAAAACACATTTGAGAACTGTTTCTTCTGCAAGGAAAAATTTTTTTTTTTATATACCAAACACTTTTATTATATGTGAAGTGTTTTGATAAGACAACTGCACTATGTCCCCTGAAAGCTTAGTTTATTGACATTTATAGCAGTGCTTGCTGCGTGAGGAACAAATTGCACAGCTATTTTTCAAGTCGTCTTTGAATCCTGGAGACTTACTGGAAGATCAGGGAGGCCTGTGAAACCACAGGGGAAAGAGATGCAGTAAGGATAGAGTCATAGAATTGTCTAGGTTGGAAGGGACCTTTCAGATCATCTAGTCCAACCATCAACCTAACTCTGATAAAAACCCACCACTAAACCATGTCTCTAAGCACTACGTCAACCCATCTTTTGAATGCCTCCAGGGATGGTGCCTCAACCGCTTCCCTGGGAAGCCCATTCCAATGCTTAATAGCCCTTTCGGTGTGAAAATCTTTCCTAATACCCAACCTAAGCCTCCCCTGGCACAACTTGAGACCATTTCCTCTTGTCCTATCACCTGTGACTCGGGAGAAGAGACTGACGTCTGCCTCTCTACACCCTCCTTTCAGGTAGAGAGCGGTAAGGTCTCCCCTCAGTCTCCTTTTCTCCAGGCTGAACAACCCCAGCCCCCTCAGCCTCCCCTCACAAGACTTATTCTCCAGACCCCTCACCAGCTTCGTTGTCATCCTCTGTAGCATGAGCAGAAGTCCCTGCTGGACCATGCCCACATCTCCATACAATCAGTTCTCTTCTGCTATGGCAAACCTGCCCTCGGGTTCTTCCTCAGACTGAGCAGAATTACACTGAATGAAGATTACACAGAAAGCAATGGTTGAAGCCAACTCTTTTAACATCAAAAATCCAAATTTCTCACTGCCTTTTATTGACTTGCCATCACTTTGCAGCCCTGTATTTTGGTGACAGTCACAGTATGAAACCTGGGTGAGTTAGGCGCAGCTCTCACTTCTAGCTAGAGAGCTGGAGAGAGATGGCCCATGTTAAGGGATAAAACAGTATTAGAGAGGCACAAAACTACTCAATCTCATATTCCTGAATCTCAATCTAAATTGCAGTTATTACTGTAATTCTGTGGTATGCAGTTGAGATAAGAAACTGTTAATTTCACAGTTTTATATCTGTTAATAAATTGCAGCAGCCCAGACAAACTACAATATGTATAATAAATACTAGAATTTAGAATAATTACCCCACAGTAAAATATAACAAATGCATAATGTTGTGAGGGTTTCTTTTTAAACTCCTGATATATTTTCTTCTTCCTCCTTCTCAGTAATGTGTTCACAGATAAAATAGTTGTGACATCATCTGCTGGGAAACAGGTAGACTTGCATGTGTTCAGCTGACTCTTGTGTTTTTATTACAATATATCCACTGACAACTTTCATTTCAGATGTAGAGGGACACAGTGTCAAGGAGAATCTGTTGCTTTGAGTATTTCAAAGTAATTCAAAGCAATCACTGTAATGTCAGTAGCGTTATTCATGATTCTTGTGGGAGTGTGAACAAGTTGAGGGTTCTTCAGCACAAAGATTACATTCTTGTAGATATTGTGTTAGGGTATATGCAATTAAAACCACAACTAAGTTATATCTGGAAGGAAGATGCCTCAATGGTTTATTTTTAGGAATGTCAGAAATACTTTCTGTAAGTTTTGGTTGGGTAATTAAATGCGTATAGTGAAGTAAAAGGAAGGAGAGAAGGGAACCTGTTTGAATGCCACAGGTGGGAAGGAATGTCCCAGCATCCCCACTTAAACTTTGTATTTAAAAAAATCCCAAACCAACAACAAAGCAAAACATACAATATAAATAAGAACAGCACAACTTCCAGAATCTGAGAGCCTGAATATCCTCTTGTCACAGTTTTGAAGCAGGACTTTTCCGTCATTGTAGAGCAGCGAATAACACCTGATTTGTACCACCTGGAAAGCAAACCAGGCCATCTGCTTCATATCAGCATGGAGGATATTGCATTCTGGAGTCAAAGCATCATCCGGGCAAAGGTGTGAAGAGGAGTTAATTGGAGAAACAGTGTAAGAAAAAAAGATCAAAAGCTTTTCTTAGAAGAGGGACATTATCCACATAGTCTTAACCTAATCTTAAAATTAAAATTAGCCTTACCCCTTGGTGGGCTAGTCCTGCTGCTTTCACGAAGTCTGTGTGTGCAGACAGGTTGGGAAGGGCCTGCTTTGTGTGGAGGTCACACAAAGCGTGTGGAGGACACATTGTATGGGAATGTTACATTGCTTTACTCCTTCTCATGCTCTCAACAGGGACCTTCAGCAAAGACGTATGGTGCATTGGCCTTGGGCTGGCTCCCTGCCCAGGGGCAAATCCCTTTCCAAGCAAGTGATGTTAGATTGTCAACAAGGTATGATGTTCAACAAAAGCCTGTGGCATATTTTCTTATTTCTCTTGCACACAAACTAAATCAGACTGCAGAGTCTATTTGATATGAGATCAGCTTCAGTCATTTGGATTAACAAATAACATTCACCTGTTATTTTTCTTCATGTATTTCCCTAAAGGATTAACAACGTGGGTTTTTCTGTAGGAAGAGCAGGTGTCTGTTTAGCACAGGTGCACTTCTGACACTCTGGGAAGTGCCAGTGACCTGCATTTACAGTAAACACAGAAAAGGTCTGGTGGCAGGGAATAGTGCATTTGCAGGACAGAACTGAAACATAACCCTGCCTTTTGAACATGGCTAGACTTCTGTCAAGGTCATGAAGAGCTGTGAAACAATCTGGCACCTGAGACTCCTGAGAGACATGCTTCCACTTCCTTACAGGAATACTGCCAGAGAACAGGTTTTTGAATCTAATGATGACACAAATCAAATGTCCTTTTCCTACTTCAGGTATTTGCTTAGAGGCCAAGATCCTCTTTGGTTTAAGAAAACTTTAAGTCCTGGCCTACCTTAGTGCTACAGTGAATGAGCTATTTTCATCTAAGCATTCATTGCTGAAAATGCTTCTACTGGAAAACAAAGTTTATAGTGCAAGTGATATTGAAAAGTCCATACTTTTCAACGGTTCCCAAACATTTTTTTGGAAGGCAGAAAGGCTCTTTTGATTATTTAATCTGAAAGGAGTTGTACATACCATGGGGCATTCCCCAGTAATTCTTGCCTCACACCCATACCTTCCCTCTGAGCTATAGCACATATTTTAGAAAGACATTTAATTGTGACTGGAAGAGATCTCAAGCCCTTGTGAAATGCATTGGTTAGCTCTTAGGTAATGCTACAAAACCTTCAGCTTCAAACACCAGCTATTGCTAGGCAATGTTAGTGACAGAGGCGAAAGTAGATGGATAGTTGCTCTGGCTTTTGAGCCATTTTGGTGCTGATTGTGCCCCTGGCATGAATCAGAACCCAGGATTGTTCTCGCTCATGTCTGTCTGGATCCGTCTGCCTGTACGTTCATCATACTTTGAAGATTACTGCTGTTTTTTGAAGCTGCAGAATAGGCCAGCAAAGATACAAAAGCTGACTTGAAAATGCACACTGACATCATTGCTGCTGGTTTCTGACTCAGCAGAGCCATAGATGCGTTTCTCGGAGTGGAGGATGTTGTTTCAGTTACTCATGCTTCTGAGGCAGTTTCGCATGAAAGACTGAACAGGGCGGAAACTTTCACTTTGAGCAAAAGAACAGTTTTAAGAGAGCCTACACGCCTGTTCCTTTTCACGTCCTTCCCACAGCTCTCCCAGACCAAACGTTCAACTCCCCAAACTGACGGTGGCAAAGAAAGGAAATTCAGTTAACTGTGAAGATGTGTTTTCAGAAAAAAATTGTAACTATGGAGCTCTTGAACAACAACGTGGGAAAAGTCAAAGACCCTCCAGTTGCCACAGAAGAAGGTCTTAACATGACAGGATACCTTAGAGGAAAGCCACGGATAAGGATATTACACCCTTGTTACTGCTGAAAGTCCTTGTTTTGTGTCTCTGCTCCTTGACAAGCTGCAGGCAAACTGGTGGATGAAGCACAGATCTGGCACAGTCAAGAGGGATTTGCAGCTCCCCAATTAAAGCAGTGTGTAGGGTCCATCAGGTAAGCCAATATCTATGTAAACATCTAGTAATAGGTACACAGGGGGCAATCAGGGCACCACCTTTGTATTTGTTTGTCTGAGGCAGGTGCTCATACTGATGACCAGAACACTCCTGTGAGCAGAAATACTCAAAGTGCTGAAGATTTTTTGAAAATGCTCCTGTTCAATTTGTGAAACTCACACTTCTTGAAAAAGCCTCTCGTTGGGTGAAGAAAGCAGTTTTCGTCTTATGCTTGCACGTATGCATTCTTGATCTGACATGACTTGCAACCACAAGAGAGCACTCTTTCCTTTGAAGATTTCTCAGCTTCCCCAGAAAGCTAGAGACATGCCATATAAGTTTTGCAAACTGCTTGTGAGCTGTTTCAGTTAGACCAGAGCAGCCGAAACAACAAAGCTTGCAGTTGTCTTTTGGATTTCATGGTGAAAAGCCTTTGGGTAGTTTTCAGATGACAGAAGATCCTTGGTTCCTGAAAGGGAGGAGTTCTGCCAAAACTTTGAAGATCCCTGTAAACTTTGCAAATTACCCATCTTTTGGAGACAATTATATCAAACGATATCGTGGATTACAATACATGTTTAGAGCCTGGAAGATTATTTATGTTTGGCATTAACTCTTATGGTCATAATTTCAAGCGGGGAGAAAAGGAATACACAGGAACCCTCTTATTATCTTTTGAAATATGAAGATCAGAGGAAAAGAAGGGTTTAAAGTGTGGAGTGATGGTCCTCAAAACCTGTCTGTAAATTAGCTAACATCTTACATCTATAAAAACAACAAGGCTTAGAGCTGATTTCCAGGCACAGAGTGGACCTCATGAGTCGTTAGCAACGCTTTGAGATCTGAGTTTTTATACACTGCAGGAGGAAACTGCAGCCTGTGGGGCAGAGTACCTATACAAATGTTTCCCCCTTGCTTGGACTGATAGAAGATTTGGAAGCCAAATTCGGAACTGACATCTCACCGGTGAGAAGAAAAAAAAAGAAGCATGGACAGCAATAAAGATGATGACAGACTGTTCAACAGGATTGCATTTCCAGGAGCTGTGTCCTTGGCTAATGGCCATGTGCATCCTCACGGGGTCCCCCTGAGAGAGCCCTTTGGGGTTCCCTTCCATCTGGACCCGTCTTATTGGGAGCAAGCCTACGGCGGGCACGCAGGTCGCATCTCCTACATCCCCTTCCCTGGCTACGTGGGCGTCTATGACTATTCCTTTGAGCCTGCCTTCATCCGAAAGAGGAATGAGAGGGAAAGGCAGCGGGTGCGCTGCGTGAACGAGGGCTACACGCGCCTGAGAGAGCACCTGCCCAAGGAATTTGCTGACAAGCGCCTCAGCAAAGTGGAGACCCTGAGAGCTGCAATAAGCTACATCAAACACCTGCAGAGCTTGCTGGACTGCCACCCCTTAGGGGCTAACAGTAAGGAAACGCTCTCTGCCAAGGAGCTCCCGGAAGCTCCCAGTCCCGGTCCCCTGCGGGAGTGCAACAGCGATGGAGAGTCCAAAACCTCTTCAGCTTCATCCCCCTACAGTGAATTCGAGGAGACGGGCAGTTAGGTAATGCTCTCTCTGGAGACAGAAAGCTTCACCTTTGGCTGAAAACCAAATCTAAAACCCTGGGGATTTTTCTACAGATGAAAATGAATACCAGGAAAAGGAAAAACAGCTAGGAAAAAGAAAAAAAAAAAAGGTATTTTCAAACTGTCAAAGAACTTTAAATGTTGTCTATACAAAACCTAAAGGGATTTGTAAAGCAAACAGGTATCTCTCAGGTTGCTTCAGCTGTGTTACTAAACTTCCTTTGGATGGTTAAAACTGAAGCAACGTTTGCATTCTACTTTTTATTCAGCTTTTGTTCAGTTCACCTATTTTCTTTTGTCTTTCACTCAATGAGACAGCAAAACCAGATAAATCCATTTCAGGAAATCCTCCTCCCCTTTCTCCTGCGTCCTCCTGTAAGTTTTATTGTCTGTTTCATCTGACTGCTAACCTGAGATGCACTGGGTTGCAAACACTTGGACTGGGAAAGGTAAGATTTAGGTAAAATGTCTTTCCCTAAAACTTTTAGAAAACTCACAGAAATACTTCTATTTCTGAAAAGACAATTTTGAAAATATAAACAAGGCTGTATTTGGGAATGAATTTCTTTTACAGCATCTTCTAAAGTGAAAGAAGCAACTCATACATTGGACACTGACTATTTGGTGGTTATTCGAAGGATAATTTTCAGGAAAAGAAAATCTGACAATTTCTTTCTTATCAATGCTAGGAAGAGTTCTGTGAAACTGCACCTTCAAAAGGAAAGCTCCACTTGTGATACTGAAAAAAATGTTACCAGCCTTTTTTGTTCTTTTCTGAAAATTGAGTTTGTGGATAAAATTGTCTTGATTGTGTCTTTTTAGCAGATTATATGATTAGAAATATGTTCCTGTAGTGATTAGTTACTGGTGTGGACAGAAAGGGTGACATTAAATATATCAGTTTACATCTGCATGAAAATGTAGGTATTTCTCCTTTTTTTTTTTTAAGAATATTGTATTACTTTTTTCAAAGAATACACGTTTAAAAATTAATATCAAAATCTATGGAATAACTTTAATGTGGACTATGTCTATTTAAAATAAGAATTTGTCTCCAAATTGCTCTAAAATCTTCCTTTCTCCAAGGCCAGATTTAAATAACATTTAGCTATGTGCTTAAATCCCATTCTGAATATGGGGTAAATTCCTTCTTACCCATGCACTTTCCACAGACCTTTCAAACCTTTGCTTTTTTGGCCTCACATTGGTGAAATCGTTTTGTATCTTTTTGTCTTTCCTTCATGTCATGCTGACCGAACACCTGAAAAAATACTTGTGTATAAATAAGAACAAACACTGATCAAATACCTCAAAACGTGTCCATAAATTTCATTTAAATAAAAAATGGAATTAATCCTGGCTGTGGGCTTTTTCACTTTTAATTGGTAACGAATGGGACAGCACTGTTTGCAGGAATAATGAATTCTCAAGAAAGATAGAAGAAAATGGAAAGGAAGTAAACATGAAACTACATTTTTTATCTAGATTTTTAAATCTAAATAAGGAGCAGATTTGTGCTGTGGGTGTCTAATCAAAATTATTTGCTATAAAAATAGTCTGCTGTTTTCTAGCAAACTGCTTTGAACATTTGTACACTTTCAGCTACTGGGTGCCTGCTGTCAAGTACCTGCAGTCCAAGTTTGGGTCCAGGTATTGCTGGAGCTCTGAGCCCAATTATTTTTTCTTAATTTACAGCTAATAACCTTAAAAGAACAAACACATTTAGGCAAACCACACACAGTTCAGAAATGGAAAAAGCCTAAATGAGTTGTCTAAGCAACTTGCTGCAAATTACTCACTCAGCCTGACCGTACTGAAGCTGCACTGTCACAAATGTCAGTGGCAGTCACAGGCTTCATTCGTTATTCTTTATGTGGTAGCCAACTCCCTTTTCTAATGACTATTTTGTTTTTCTAAGGGCTGTTACTTTTGCAGAGTCTGTTTCCCAGACCCAAAAAGCAGAGATCTAGTTACCTGGACAGTTCTGTCTGTGGATGCAGAGCTGAAAGCACTCATTTTTGAATGCATAAATGTTTATATTTGTTATCAAAGAAAAGGGAGAAGGGCAAGGTAACAGTCTGAATGTCTGATTTGGATCCATTATTTTTTGGCTTTTTTCCTTCCCCTTGCAGTCTCTGACAAGAGACTCAACCTCTCTCTTTCTGCCTCAGTTTTGAGATTTCTGGAAATACAGCAGTGCTGCTGGTAACTCTGTCAGTAAGCCTGAATTGCATTTCTCCCTCAAAGCAGAGATTAAATCTTTGTTATCTATGAAAAACATACACTTCCTCAGAGTACCTGAGACAAATTCTGTGAAACATATAGTTGTTTGTGAAACACTCTGAAGAGGAAAGGCAGTTAATATACATAATCACAATAAATAGCCAAATCAAACTGGGCCACTAAAAATAAAAATGACCAGAGTGACTGCTACTTTCTGGGCAGGAATAAAATAGATTTTTTGGTCAGATGGTTATCACAGAGATATATAGAAAAGCCATAATCCTCTGATTTCCAAACCCCAGAGAGATGATGCAACAGGCCACCTTCTCCATGATCAGCTAGTTAGGCTGTCCAGAGAAGTGGACTAAGTTGTGGCTCTGCCCCCTTTCAGCTTCATCTCGTGGGATGTTCCTCAACAGGAGTCTAACCAAGCCGAGATCACCAGCTCCTAGTCCTGTGCTTGGCTGTCACCGCTGTAGGGTGTCTCTTCCTGAGTGAGAGACACAGGGTGACCTGCCACACATCCTGATGGGACTGGGTTATTTGTTGCATATCCTTAATACTCTGCAGTCAGAACCAAATCTGGATTTTGTGAAATAATATCTGGGCCTCAAGTCAAGGAGGCTGGTTAAAAGTCTACATTTCAATAAAAATGTAGCTGCTTTTTTTTTAGATTATACTTCTTTAACAGCTCTGGAGATGTCCTTAAAATACCTCCCAACCCAATCTCAATGCTGAAGATGCAAAAGCCAGAATGTCACATGTAGCTTAATTTAATTTTAAAGGAAAACAAATTTCTGGATGAAAAGGAAGTTTTTTTTCCTGTAGGAAAAATCTGTTACAAGTTGAACTACTCTCCTTAGGAAAGTTGTACATTTTTATTTCTCACATTTCTGTTGTCATGCAAACCTCTTGCACACTTTTAGCACAAGGAAGTAGAAAACAACTCAAGATTTCCCAAATATGGATCAGTGCTTCCTATGGGCATCAACAAAGGTTTCAAGTGAATGCTACATTTCAAAAACTTTCTTAAGCTGTTTCTGTCTAGACAAAGGTTTTCTTCAAAGCTTCTAAAGTGTATCATTATCAGACTTTGAAAGCAGACAATGATCCAACTTGTCACCCTGAGTATTAAAGTTTTAATAAAAATGTTGACCAGAAGGATTGTCTCCACATGGCACAATTACTATTTACAAGAAAGGCGGATACTGATATCCCTAGGCAACTGTGCTACAGCTTTATCAAACCCCTGCACACCAAATGCAGACACTTTAATCTTTCTATCAAATGTGAAAAAAACCACACATCTGAAGTCTTCCCTCTTCTGCCATTAAATTACAAATCCATTTGCTGCTTGATATTATCAGCATTTTAAAGATGTGTAATCCGGGCCATAGGATTGCTTTTAATCCTCTAATAGCTATTTAGCTGATTTCTTTGTAAAAGCCCATCCACACTCCTTTCATGTTGTATTACCCAGTGTCAATAACATGGCCAAAGAAAAACAGAAGGCACTATAGAAAAGTCATGTTCAGAGAGTAAAGCAATCAGGACAAATTTATCTCACTGCAATAAATGAACAGGGAACGTCCACAAAAACACAAAGAATCTTTGAAAACATTTGTCACCAGTATACTTGGCAAGAAGGCAAAACAAAATCCAAAACATTTTGAAGAGAGACTCTCAAGTGGTACCAACAGGACAGCCCTGCTGAAGTTAGCTGAGGTCAATCACTATAGCTGAGCAAGGTCTTAGTAAGTTTCTCCAAAACAGAGTCTTAGCAAATATAACTTCAGTGGGTGCTCAATACTAGTAACTCTCAGTGTATAGATAAATGGCTACAGAGTAAGAGGTAAATTAGTTCCAGACGAAAAGCTATAAGATTGCAGCTATACTTAGCTCTTACACAAGGCTGTCCAGCTGTGGATCTGGAAGCCCTGTAAACACAAGATGAGCAATGGTTTCTATCAGCCTGAAGGTGTGCTTGTAGGTAGAAGTGTGCTATAAATGCTCACTCATGTATTTCTTACATTATTTTTACACATCTTTTTCTACCTCGCTGTGAATATGCCCACTGACAGGGCAATGGAAAAGTTCTCCAAGTTGCCCTTGCTGGAAGAGCAAACTAGAGGACTGAAGTTGTAGCTAAAGGTAGATATCTATCTCCATAGATGAGTGGATTTCCATACAGTCAATTCTGGGTCAAATACAGAGAGGGATCAGTCTAGGATGCTGATGAAATGAGCACAGACTGCCAAGAATATTTGTTTGGAATTCACAGCAGTCTGACAAGGTGACACAGCTCAGATGTCCCAGAGCTGGCTGAAAATGGTATGAATCAGCTACCCTGATCCAAGACCATGGAAACTCAACAGGAACCAACAAGCTCATTCGGTGTGCTCTGAAAAAGACTGGTAGTGCTTTTCAGGAGGCAAAGGGCCACCTTTTTTTTTGTCCTCAGAGTGTCCTTTCTCCTACCCACTCATATCCACATTGTGAGATCATTCCTCTGACCCTGAGGTCTGATCAGCATAGCAGGCACAGCTAGTTGGTGGGTCAGAGACCCCACATAGAGCTGTGCTTGGGTGGCAGTGGGGTTCTGGAGAGGCAGATGATGGCAGCGTGGGAGAAGGGCTGTTGATTCACTCTGGGAAGGAGATAGGGGGTGAGATGGGAACTACCGCTCTCTAAGAGTGGGATTCAAGTAGAGATTCTAAGAGTGGGGTCAAGTAGCTTTGACCTCTTGTATCACTA